CAACCTCGACGAAACCTTAAATTTGCGCACATTGGCTAAATAGCAAGCAGTCAGCTGAAACCACCGCCACGGGGAGCTTTGTCTGGCTCTTTGAATTGAATAAGGAGAATGACTGTCACTTTTATCAGGGATTTTCCTAGTTTGAAGTTAATCACATATTGTGCACCCGTAAACATATTTGTGCAGTTGAAGTATAAGTAAGTTCGAGTAGATAAATATTAAAAAAAAACATATTAAAAATTATAAAATTCCATTCCAGAGTTGATAAATAAATGGATTTACTAGAATATTCTTCAGTTTTGGGTCATTTGTTACTAGGCCTGTATATATATGAGGTGCAATAAGGCGTCATGTATTAAAAAATGATGAAGTTAAAGCATAATTGTGGACTTTTAAAAAATCCTTAGGAAAAGCTCTGACTTATAACGCACCTACAGTGACAGTAAGATCCACAGTCGAACTGGTGTATTACCGACGTACATAAAGTTGATCCTCAACTTGAGAGTTTTTAGGTATTTGACCAAAGTTAAACACCACACTCTCTAAAATAACGTACTCGTATATCACGCACTCTTACCGTTAGTCAATAACTCGTTCACCTTAGAGTTGTCAAATACTCCTTGTATATCCAGCGTCAGTTCCCATGCGAACCAGCACCCTGTCTTCTCCAATAACGTTACTTTTATACCCTGCTAGCTATCAGTCTTTATCTTCCCTAAACCCTCCTGTTATGTCTGACTCGATGTGAATTCAAACAAACTTAAAAGCGACCAAATATTTTTTCTATGTATAGCTTTTAACTCTTTTACGATAAATATTAGAAATTAATTTGATAAACTTAAAAGATATATTTAATTGCATCCTAACATTATCGAAACCAATGTCGGATCAAATAGACCCGAAACATAATAGAAGGGTTAAATACCAGCGATACGTGTACATTTCTGTATCTCAATGAGATACACTAAATTTTACCCCTGGTATTATATACTCTGTACTGTCATCTTAAAGAACGTTAGACTCTCCCTCGCTATGAATCAGTTCCTATTCCGATCTTCTCGAACAACGGGTACATCCTGCTTCAGTTAGTAACATATTTTGTCTTACAATAATGACTGTGTACCTTGCCATGCCCAATAAAGTTACGTGTCTCAGACTTTAGTGTTAAAAACTAGTATGTTATTGTACACGTATATTCTTACAACGGCAAGGTCATTCGTCAGATCTAAGTTCTCCAAACTCGGGATTCCTAGATGCTAGCAGTGCATTATTTTTACCGATAAACAGATATTTTGAATGTGACATCTCACTGACTTGGCTTCTCAATATTTGTGGACACTGCTTGAGTTTACTTTGCATGTGATTGGCTTCATTTTTTTAATATTGCAAAATCTACCTAGTAGAAACATTAAACTGATGTAGACTACACTAAAATAAAAAGTTTAAACTACAGATTTTCCATATTCTCCTTATCCATTATATCAAAAGATATCAGTATTTTAAATAAAATATGAGGTGTTTAACACAATTGATTTACGTTATGAGGAAAGAGTTTACATTAATCACGTGCTGCTGTGTGTGAAAACGTGCTGTCTGTAAAAGGTATAGAGAGTAGTCTAATCAGACCTGATGATCAGTAGGTTACATTAGACTGGTTTAAACAGGTCTGGTGGTCAGTAGGTTATATTAGACTTATTTAAACAAATCTGATGATAGTAAATTACAGCACGCAGTTTATAATAGACTTAGTGACCTACAAGTCATTACAGAGGCTACAGACATTACTTTCTGAAGAAACATGTTTAAGTGGACTTGTTGATTTACAGTAAAAATTGTCATCATGAGTGGGTAAAATACTTTATAAATATATATAGTAATTAAATGGTACAACAATAATATTTTAATTTTGCAATATGATTAGCAATAGGGTGTTTTGAATAAGCTACCTCAGTTGCTCAAGATTTAGCAGATTTCTATACATTTAGATGAATCATTTTTCTCAAAACGTGGAATACTAACTAAGGTAAAATGACTCAAGTTGTGCTAGTATTACCATATTTCAAGCAACCGTGGGTTTTCAAGCTGTTGGATTAGATGACCTGGTGTAGAACAACTTCAGGATGTGTATTAATACCCCACCCCTTGGTATTGCTTTTAATAACAGCTGTAAGAGGTAAATTCCAATAGCATTTAATCTTTCGATCATCAAGTTTGGTTAGATTAATCTCTCTTCATAACATGTCAATTATCAGGTCTGGTTAGATACCTCATTAATTCATCTACTGTGACTACATAATTCATTAAATCTGTTTACAATAGTCTTTCTACTCTAACCTATCAATTACTTATAAATCATTTCTGCTGAAGTTAGTTTCTGTTGAATTATCTTATAATCTAATCTAATCCATTTAATAAAGTACCTATAGTTCATCAAGTCTAATCTTTCTGTTGAAGTAAGTGTGAGTCTAAACTTATCATCTGTTGAATTATCTTATACCAAGTTTATTTAAAATATCTATCAAATTACTTGTGGATAATCTAATCCATTTAATAAAGTACCAATAGTTCATCAAGTCTAATCTTTCTGTTGAAGTAAGTGTGAGTCTAAACTTATCATCTGTTGAATTATCTTATACCAAGTTCATTTAAAATATCTATCAAATTACTTTTGGATAATCTAATCCATTTAATAAAGTATCTATAGTTCATCAAGTCTAATCTTTCTGTTGAAGTAAGTGTGAGTCTAAACTTATCATCTGTTGAACTATAGAAGGGAAATAAAATATTTATAAGTTACAATTGAGAGTAATACTTCATTATAAAATAATAAAATAAAAATTATATAATTAAGTGAGAGTGTATAATACACTCTCATGTTGTTAGGAAAAAGGTCCATGGTCAATTTCAAAGGATATGTCAGATCTTGAGCTAGGTACATGTTTTTAGTATTTATCATAAAACTATGAATATAGGTTAGAAAATTTTGATTGGTTGATAACTATAAAAAAAGGGGGCACCATTATGAAGACAAATTATATTCTAAAATTTATAATCAAATTAAATAAGTATACAACCTTTAAAACTGTTTTGGTGGAACTTTAGACAAATCAGACATATGTTCGGGAACTCTAACGGACTGCGAACAACTGGCTGGTGAAAGAGGAGACAATATTTCAGCTGCTATACTGAAGCCTTAAAAAGGCCTCAGTATAAAAACTGGAACATTGTCTCCTTCACTTTCAATGAGTAATTCATGTCCACTGCAGTTTTCAAACCAACCTTTAAAATTCATCAGTTTTGCTGTAAAATTGTTTCAAAATCATAGCTATCTAGGAATTATGAAACAATTGAGGCTTAACCTCAGATGAATTTTCTTTATAAACATATTAACTGGGAAAGTTCAAATTAACTATTAAGATATCTTAAAATGATTTAATTGATTTACTAGACATTGCTGGTAAAAAAAGTAATGCATACATTTTCTTTGTGTTACAGTTTGAACTCCACTGCCACTTTCCCCGATCTTTAGGTAAGCTACTTCTTACATGGCTCTCTAACAGTGATGTAGCCTAAGGAACTATCTCAAGCATAGTCTAGTTCATTTACTATATGCATGATTCAACTAGATTAAAAACATACACAGATAATAAAATATCTTCTTTTAACCAGTTAGACCTAATATTACAGTTTCATCTACTTCACCAGGAATTAAATTAAAGTTATTAAAGACAGCCAAGTGATACAGATCATACTGTTAGTTTTAGCAACAGGTTTTCTGTTATAATGAAAACAAAGTACGACTTATAAAACTAGTAAATGTGCTCTTTGTTGTGTATTTCATTCGAAATAACACATTGATTTCATGATTTATCAGCAAAAGGTACAAAACTTTTTCTCTCTCTCTCACCCAATTGTAAGAATCAAATCTCAAGAAAATGAAGTAAATTTCTGTGGATTAACCTGACAAAGTTTTTTACGAAAAGACAAAATTTACAGATGTACTTAGAATTCATCAGAATCTTCTTTCTTCTTCAAATAGTTAAAGTAACAACTAAATTATACCTTGGGATAAATGAGAATATGTTTCACCTTTCTGAAAAGTCACCACGACTGCTGTAAGTTTTAAATTTAATGTAATATTGCCTAAACAGTATATTTGATACTGGAATTGAATAAAAATGGATATGTTAGTCATCCAAATTATAGTTATATGTTAATGCAACATAAAACTATTCATTCCTTCTTCCTTTGCATTCCACTAAAACTAACAAGTTTTCATTTAACCAATACACAGATACAGTACGCTAAAAAATGAATGTCAGTCAGAAATATCGTGAATTTTCACTTATAATTATAAACAGTACATCATGATGTCAGAATAAATAAAAATACTATGAAGTACCTTGGTCAAGGGATTTTTTACTTGTACATCTCTAATGTTTATGGCTTGTGTACCTCAAAGACTTTTATCTCTGTAACTGTCAACTCTTTAACTGTGATCCTTTTATCACAAAACAATTATTTGTTCAAATTGATCCAAAGACCATGGAACTGTGAGGGTTAAAAACTGAATTCAATCAAGTTATGAGACAAAAACCATTCATAGTGAATATTTTGAATTATTTTCAACCTTAAACTACCCTCTAAATATCACAAATAACATTTATATATTCAACATCAAACATATCTTTTTACCTAGTTTCTTATGTAAAGTTGATAAACTGAAAAAAAAAATTAATTTATGATAGACTATTATTTTATATAACTTATAACTTGAAATTAAGATGAAATGCATACCTATAGTCTACATATAATCTTGATAAGTTTTATCATCAGATACAGTTTTTTTATGTGACTGTCACTCCATAAACAAAGTCATATACAGCTTAAACTAAAAGTGAAACTTGTGAAAGTAATATGGCATACCAGTATTTTTAGCTGAACATTTTAATAATATTAGTTTTGTTCATGAAACATAATAAAAAATTATGAATACTTACATATATCAAACCAGAATAATATCGATCTTTCAAGTTATGTAGGACAGATGCTTCATTAAGGCATGTTAATTCTGCCATGTCTTCGACTTTGCTAAATTTTGGAGGATTCATTTTTTGGGCATCATCTTTATTCACCACGCATCTTTTACTTGTCTCCACGATTTCTACTTCCAGCTCATCTCCTCTGTCCACTTTGATGCTCGCTGAAACGAATCCTTGTTGTTCGTGGGGTATCCAAATCAATTTTTTGGATGTCCACTCTGCCTGGATAGTGGGATCGTTTATCCCAACATTTCTGTCAACAACAAGGTATTTCAATTCCGGGTCTTTACGAAAGTCCACAGAGACTGGTTCCGCCATGTCGCTTATAGAATGCCGTGCTCAAGGAATGTCGTGCCGTATTCAGTAAAGTTGCAGTGGCCGGTGAATTACTAGTAGTAGTAGAAATAGCTTCGCCAACAATGTCTGACGTGCAGAACGTTTTGGTCTAACAAATATAAATTAGAAAGAAAAAAAATAGCTATTTAAATCAAATTTGAAATATTTAGCTTTAAGTACGAAAGTATTAACAGAGATTAAAAATATCGAATATGTATGCTATGCAACTTCGTGGTGCAACACGTATACAGTCTCATGTAACGAATACACCTCACAACTAGGCCTACTACCAACAGCCGCCGCCCGGTTTGTACTACTTTTCTGCGCATGACAAAAAATTATGATTGGAGCACGTGACTAGAAATCTCTGACAGCACCACTATGCGGCCAACGACTTACTTTTGATGAGTCACTAGTTAAATTATGTCACACTGGTGGTGTTGTTTTTCGTTTTGTTTGTTTTTTAATTCGGAAAACAGTTATGTCCACTACGAAGTTTGTGAACAGAGGTGGGTATTTCTGAAGAAGTGTAATATTCTAGTTTTTCTCTGGATATCCTCACAACTTATAAAAACAATGTCGTGAATAATAAAACTACGCATAGCAAACTATATCTTAAGCATATGACGTTATGATTATGATAAAATATTTCTAATTTTTGTGAGCTGTGTGTAATAGATTTTATTTTCAATATTATTTAAGTATTTAATACATCATTAAATACACAAATCATTTCCAACGAACATAAAAATACATAATTAATTTAAGTGAAACGATATCATAATGCGTCAATAAAGAAAAACGTTTCGTGAACTGGGAACTGCTATTTGTTTGTTGTTAAGCGCAAAGATATACAATGAGCTATCTGTGATGTTCCTATCAGAGGTATCGAAACCCGGTTTTTAGTATTATAAGCCTTCAGACTTATCGTTGAGCTACTAGGGGCAAACTGGTATAGACTCACGTGCTAGTGGTATTAAGCATCAGGCCTATAACATAATCATATACATACGATATTTCTGATCATATAAGACAAGATTATTATTTCTTTGATAAACCGGAATCCTGCTGTGGGTTAAACCAGCAAAATATAGAAATCTTGCAATATAGACTAAAACAGAAAATATACAACAAGTTTACACACTGGATGTTACTTTAATTAAAGTTTATAAGCATACAATAACTAAGTAGTCGACTAAAATAAACCTT